CAGCCAAGAAAAAACACAAATGGATCATTGAACTTCTAAAACAAAACAGCAGTTCTGGAATCTTGCATTTGTGATGTCCCCAGAGCCAAGCTGCTACTGTAGACTTTTCCTATGAGTCTTTCCTGAAATCAAGAGAGCTAGAGATTGTCTTCAGAATTGATAAAAACCTCCACCAATGGATATGAAATTGAAACCAATGGGTCAGGAGATATCCAACCGGACAGCTGAGAATCGAGCCTCCTGGAATGGAGTTACGGTCTTCATAACCTTGGTTTCAGCAGGTGGACCCATCATGTCTTCTCCAGACTTTCCAAGAATGAGTTGAGTCTTAGAATAGCCCCATAATGTTCTTAGAAGAAGTTAAACAGTGGACAGCTGTGCACCAGCTTGTTTGGAAGGCTGTTCATTTGCTCAGAAGAAAGATGAAGGAAGACTACATATCTGGGCTGCAGAAAATCTGATGGCCACTAGGCGAGAAGAAAGAGAATATATCTTGTGGGGCTGCCATTCATGGTTTACTGGATTTTTTCAGCCCAGATTATAGTAAGCTTAGTTCAGTGTAACCCACAGAATGCCAGTGGCCTATAGAGGTCCACCAAGTGGCCTTCCACAGCCCTTCTCCATACAACCTCAGTTCCACCTCCCTACGCGTCCCCACAGTCCGCTGGTGCAGAAGAACAGCTCAGCAACTGAACGTGGGTTCCCTGAAGTGTATAAGTGACACTACAACTAGCAGTTGAGGTACTAAAACCCTGAACATTGAGAATTAGGTCCAAACGGATCTTGAGTGCAGTTAATCAGAAAAGGCGCGACCAGACTCCTCCCGACGTTTAACCAGATCAAAAACCCAGCGCTTGCATTCCCACAACATGTTCAACTTGGTTAGGCTTATCCTCAGTTAGGTTTTTTTGCGGTTCAGTTTATTTTGGGGACCAAGCTCATTGACGGTTCAACCCAGAAGATGGATTAACCTGCTGCCAGGTTAAACATGTTGTCTGAATGCAGCCCCAAAGGCTTCTTTCTCAACATGGTCACAAACTGCAATGACCAGGCTTCAGGACATCTTATTGATCCATTCTTCAGCACAGCCTTGGGGGGGCCGTGTAAGCATGTCCTAGGGCCCCAAAACAAGACAATCACCTTCCCTGCTGCTGCCCACCCTCCACCCCACCCTAGGGCTCACAATCATCTATTTTGCCAACACAATTCCCTTTGATGGGAAGAGGAAGAGCCTTTCAGAGGCCCTCTTCTACATGCCCCGCAAGGAGAGCACCAACGGAGGGTGGTGGGTGGCCCAAGACAGAAACCTCTCCAAGCATCGAGCAATGCTTCCAAGATTTGAGGAACTGAAATCTAAGGAATGTGCATTCCCAGCAGGAAGGGGCCGGAGAAGCCAAGATTGTGGGGGCAGAGAACCGCCTTCTTTCCAACGACGCACTTATCGGATCTGCAGGCAAACAGGCAGGAGATGCTGGCTGTGGCCATATATGGCCAGAATCAGCTCGGAAAGTGACTTTATAATGCTCTTCAGGTCTTGGGGCTTCGCCCAAAAGTGGAGAAAGTCAGGGGCAGGAGGCAGCCTTCAGAGAGACGCAGAAGGAGAAAAAGAAGACTTTTCATATTTTACAAGGAAAGGGAGCTGGGCTTCCTGAAGGCCCGGGATGTTATCAGTTATACTCCTGATCCTCACACACGTGTGAAGAAGCACACGTTGTCTTGGCCCAGGTTGCTCCAAAGATGGATGTTGATCAAGCCCCCAAGCATGAAGGGAAGCCTTCTTCCAGAGCTTCTCCGAAAGACCTTCTTTCAACACCGAGTAAACACAGACGTACGTTTCTCCTTCTCTGCTCTTGAACACCTCCCCAGGAGACTTGCATCCGTGCTTTCAAGAGGCAATTGGCCAAACAGCAATTGAGAGAAATGTGCATTTCCTTTTCTTTAAGAATTGCACCTGCTATAATAGGAGCTGCAATTTAAGATAAAGAGGATGAAACGAATGGCAAGAGGTACAGCAACTAGCTTTAGAACTGACAGTGAAACACTGAAGTGGTGGAGAGCTTCTGCCTTTGAGGATCAACCATCAACAGTAAAGGAACAAGCAGTCCAGAAATACACCGCAGACGAGCACTCCAAGCCATGAAGGCCTTGGAGAAGATCTTCAGATGCTGATGTGTTTATACCTGGACAGGTATAGATCAGAACAATGCAAACCATGGTATTTCCTGTGACATTCAAGGGTAGTGAAAGTTGGACTTTGAAGAAGGTACGAAGAGTCTTGACACTTTTGAACTTTGGTGTTGGAGAAGACTCCTGAGAACACCACGGACAGCCAAGAAAAAACACAAATGGATCATTGAACAAATCAACCCGGAGTTGTCACTCAAGGCACAAATGACCAGGCTCAATTGATCCTCCTTTGGTGGACACATGATGTGAAGACCCAGCTTCCTGGAGCAGGAACTAATGCTGGGAAAGGTGGAAGGAAAGAGAAGAAGAGGATGACCAGCAGCAGTGGAGGCACCACTTAGAGACTGAAGGGCCAGGTTGGGGACAGATCATCCTGGAGAAGTCAACCTATACAGTCACAAAGAGTCAACACTGACTTGATGGCACCAACTCAGTCAGTGGAAGGCACAGGAGAGAGGCCAAGAATGGGTGCTGTGTCGGGGCAACCTAGGACTTGAATCAATAGCTCTGCAAGACAGGAATGGGGCTCATGGGCCCTGGTGTCATCACAATTACAGTGGTGTCATGTTGGGGCATTTACAGGGCATCCCAGGTTCCCAGCCTAGAGAAACCAGGTGACAGATGGAAAGCAGGAAAGCTTTGGTCTCCTTAGCCCAGGAGACACCACAGAAGACGCCCACTGCTCCAAACCTGGATCTGCATATCCACTAAGGTAAAATCCTGCAAGTTCACCAGCAGCCCAAGTGCAACTAGCTTTTGCAGTCAGAACGGCCTTTTTCAAATTGAGATTATTTGCAGTCAGGTCCGAACAGTTGATCCAGGAATGGAACCCTTCCATGAAATTGGAACAGCCTGTTCCCCAGCTGGAAAACTTTCAGTGAGATCAGAACATCTCCTCTGGGGTCGAAATGGATCTTGTGAGGTATGAACAACCTTGAAAATTTTTGTACACTTCTCCCAAATAAGACGGTGCCAAGCTGCTTATGGCCAAGAAGGCTTCTCTAGTAGAGCTGGGAGAAGTTTCAAAAATGACCCAGAAGACGTGCTTTGGACCTCACACAAATGTGAAGCAATATTCTTCTGCTGTGCAGCAAAACAGCCCGACTTACTTCAGGCTTTTGCCTAAAACAAAGGGGCTTTAAAAGCTGCATTAACTTTAATGAGCAAATTCCTTAAAACAGCAGCATTCTTTTTCCAAGGCTCATTCAGAGCCTATGAAAGTCAGGCTGTTTTTATAAACAGCAGGGAGGCGGGA